TCCCCCTGCTTGTGTTCCCTCTCTCGCTGTGTCTCTCTCTGTCAAATAAATAAATGGAATCTTTAAAAAAAAAAATCATTCTGGTGGGACACCTGGGTGGCTCAGTTGGTTAAGCGACTGCCTTCGGCTCAGGTCATGATCCCAGGGTCCTGGGATTGAGTCCCACATCAGGCTCCCTGTTCCGTGGGGAGCCTGCTTCTCCCTCTGCCTCTGCCTCTCTCTCTTTCTGTCTCTCATGAATAAATAAATAAAATCTTTAAAGAAAAAAAAAGTATATTCACACTGCTGCACAAACTCTAGAACTTCTTCATCTTGCAAAACTGAAACTCTATACCCATTAAACAATAACTATTTTCCCCCTCCTTCCAGACCCTGGCGAACACCATTCTACCTTCTGTTTCTGTGAATCTGACTGCTCTGAGATACCTCACAGAAGTGGAATCACACAGTATTTGTCTTTTTGTGACTGACTTATTTCACTTAGCATAATGTCCTCAAGGTTCATCCATGTTGTAGCATGCATCAGAATTTTCTTCCTTTTTAAGGCTGAACAGTAGTGGTATATATCTTTTTGAATTTGGAGAAGAGAAATCATTTTTAAATTTGCAATTTATATATTTATCTTTATTAAATATTTTGTATATCATCCCTACAAATATCTTTTTTTGATATACATAGTAAAATATTTGGTTGTATTTCCTAAAAGATACTAATTTTCTTTTGTGAAAAGAAATGCTACTTTTAAGACAAAATTTATAAGCTCTGATATTTAACATAAAATAGACAGAACTGTCTTTTTTCTAAGTAGACTGTCAAGGAACTGAAATTCAGTTCAGTGTCATATTTCATCCTAAGCTGATACTGTGTTAGATGACTTATTTGTAGAATGAAACACATATGATCTAAAAAGAGCCATGACTCCTGGGGATGGAAAGATGATGCAGGTGTTATTATAGATGGTTCTTCTAAAAACCATTTGGTTGGTGAAAGGAATCACATAAAGTAATGATTCTATTATTTCAATTCTTTAATAGTACTTTTCAAAATGGATGATGATTCTTTAATGTGACCTTGAGACAACATTCCACCTATGTTGATGTTTTTGGAGAAGTTATAAGAAATAGGTATTGGAATGAAGGGATATCTTCCTTTTTTTTTTTTTTTAAGATTTTATTTATTTATTTGACAGAGAGAGACACAGCGAGAGAGGGAACACAAGCAGGGGGAGTGGGAGCAGGAGAAGCAGGCTTCCTGCGGAGCAGGGAGCCCGATGCGGGGCTCGATCCCAGGACCCTGGGATCATGACCTGAGCCAAAGGCAGACGCTTAACGACTGAGCCACCCAGGTGCCCCTGAAGGGATATCTTCCAAAATCAGTTAAAGACTTTCAGTTTCCTTCAGTGTCCACTGATCATAATCCCAAATCTTACTCTGATGGCCATATAGAAGGTTAGGAAGTATAAAAAACAAATGGTAAAAAATACAGTTTGAAGACGAACGCTGTGCTTCAAAAATGTTTCCATGAGAAATTTAAAGATTATAATTAATGTTCAGATAATCATAGACTAGGTAAAATAATAAATCAAATATCAGAGTAGCACAGCCAAAAAGCAGGTAAGTAGTATCATAGTTATGTTCCTTTCTTCCCCAAATAGGAAAATTCCGCACTAATTCTGTACATATACATACATATATATACACACACATATATATACAAAAAAACATATATATACAAAAAACATATATATATACAAAAAACATTTATATATATAAATATATATATATTTTACTTACTGTTGTTTTTGTCTTTAAAGAAGATCTTAAAGGCCATACTAAGGATTCACTAAGAATTAAGTTATTGTTTGGGTCTCAAAATTGTTCTCCTTCCACATGTCTTTTAGAATCTAACTTGCCCTGCACAACTAGAATAAACAGAAAATGTAGTCTAAAGGTTAACATAACACTTACCTGTCAAGACACCTTAGAATAATAGTAGTCTTTCCCTGGAAATTAAAAAAAGAAAGAATACTGTGTTAATGTCATCCACATGTAAAATTTTGTTATTGTTCATAATTGTGGCCAAAAATAGATTTTAATCACTTGAATGATAAATTACCTGGAAACTAGAAACTTTCAGAATTGTTCCTAAGTTTGATAAGTGGAAAGAGTTAACTGTCAACTTTCCATCACAGTGTAACTACACTGCTATTATTATAATTATAAAGTCCTGCAGATGACAAATACTAGCAAATCATACCTCACTTTAGTGGTCAACTTGGCAGCTGTCTGAGATTTCCTCTCTATTCATCAATGCTAATTACTGGTTACGCAGATGATTAGTGTCTTCTAAAATGTTTTAATTCCAATTGTTGAAGTGGAAATAAAGAAGAAAGATAACATACAAATAAAGGACATGCTGCAAATATGTTCAAAGTAAGCAATCCAGATACTGGGTTAGAGTTTATTTATTGTTTTATTTGTAGAGAATGAACTTACTTAAATAAACTTACTTAAAATAAATCCAAATTTTTAAAAATCACTAGTAAACTACTACTTACTACTTAAGTTTCTTGTTAGGAGTCAGAAAATATAGGTCCTGGTCCTCTCTGCCACTAATCATGAAACTTAACTTCACATCTTAGGGATTGGCTCAGTGGCTTAATCACTGATTTCTTTTTAATACTAAAACTTAAAAAAAAAAATCTCCTACAAGAAAAGAGATACAAGAGGAGCAGCACGGGAAGCTCTAATGGAAGAAGCCTTTAGGTTCCAAGGAAAATGGTTTGGAAAATACTGGACTGACAAACACACAGAACATTTGATTAGATATGTTTTTTCCCTAAAAACCTGTAATTTTTTTTACCAAAAAAAAGATGATCACAAATAAATTACTCTAGATTATATCTGGGATATGATCAAATTGAATGACTTTTTTATAATGGGAAACATAAATAAATAACTGAAATAGGACCAAAAATGTAAATTATTGAGGGATATTTATTGGCAGGTATTACATCAAAGTGAAAGACTAGAAACCACCTAAATGTCCCCAAATAGGGGACTGGTTAAATTATTATGACAATCCTTAAATGGAGTAACATGCAGCTATTAGGAATGATGATATAGGAACATACTTACCGACATGGTAAAACATTTATAATAGATTATAGCATAACCCTGTTTTCAATTTTTAAAATCTCTTTTCCTGCTTTTTTGAGATCTACATACATACATAAACATACCCATAAATAGATTCAGAGAGAGGCAGAGAAACACATACACAAAAATAAACAGATCCAGAGGGATATCACTAAGCTAACAGTGAATGTTTCTAGGTGATGGATTTGCTGGTTATTCATTTATTTATTTTTAAAGATTTTATTTATTTATTTGAGAGAGAGAGAGCATGAGCAGGGGCAAAGGGCAGAGGGAGAAAGAGACTCCCCATTGAGCAGGGAGCCCGCCGTGTGCTGGATCCCAGGATCCCAGGATCCCAGGATCATGACTTGAGCCAAAGGCAGACGCTACACCATTCCCCTACCTCATCTCATCACCTGGGCATTTTATCATCTCATATCATCACAAGAAGGGTGAGTACAGTACAGTAAGATATTTTGAGTGAGAGAAAGACCACATTCAACTTGTATTATATTGTTGTAATTGTTCTATTTGTAGTTATTGTTGTTAATCTCTTACTATGCCTAATTCAAAAATTAAATTTTATCATAGGTATACTCCGTCAGTACTAGGTGCAGTTTCAGATAGCCACTGGGGGTCTTGGAACAGATCCCTTGCAGACAGGGGGAGACTACTGTACCTAAAAACTAATGTATTCTATGTGTAAGAAAGCATAGAATCAGAATGAATGTATTTTAGAATTGGAAGGAATCTTCGATATAATTAGCCAATTTTCTCAAATTCTCATGGTTCTATAGTGTTGATTTAAATTCTGATTGTAATTTCATATAAATGTATAGTACTAGTTGGTGGCAATTCCAAGTAAACAAACTCTACTCTGGGCACTGAAATAAACTTTTAGACTATCATTAAAATAAATCCAAATTTTTAAAAATCACTAGTAAACTATTGCCCTCAGCGAGTGGATCCACAGACTCCTAGTTTTCCTGGTTCAATAAACACTGACCTAATACAAGTTCACTCAGAGACTATCAAAATGAATCCTATCTTTCCTCCCATTACCTCAGTGACACTGGAAGTCTTTTTCTCTGACCCGTATCCCTGGAGCTCTAATTCCATAATCCTCTATGCATCCCTTCCCTTCTTCCAAAATCTTTCCACTCTATAGCTCCAGCTCCATGATTAGCAAACTCCCCAGTAACCTCAACTTCTTCTTCAGAATGTTCTCTCCAACTGTTGGCCTTACCTAAAATACGGTTGCCTCCGGACCACTTCCTCTGCAATCTTGTTAAAGAAGGCTAGTCTTTTCTACCACCCTATGTACTTCAGGGCTCTCCTTGTTCCCCAATGCCACCTTAATTATTTTTTTAAAGATTTATTTGAGAGAGAGACAGGGAGTGAGTGTGAGCGTGAGTGGGCGGAGAGGCAGAGGGAGAGAATCCTCAGGCAGACTCCCCCAAGCACGAACTGACACAGGATCCATCCCACAACCCATGAGATCATAACCTGAGCTGAAACCAAGAGTCGGATGTCCAACTGACTGAGCCACCCACGTGCCTTCCACCCACCTTTAAATAATTATTCTACTTCCCTCCTTTTGCAAAAGCCTTAGAGGCTTGTCCCGGTCTACTGTGATGGTTGTTGGCCAACTCCTCTAGCTCACAGTCTCCCTCTCTCTCTCAGCTACTGTCATGAGTCTTGTTAACTTCACACCCATGTAGGCATGGGCAACCTACCTAACACGCTGACCTCTCAGTGCCTTTGCCTCCTCACAGAGACACTTTCCTTCACTCTACTTCTACCATACATCACTTCCAAGGTTACATCTTGAATCATTTCACCACTGGAAACTATACACTATTTCCAAAATCACACATGCAAACACATTCTCCAACTACTTTTTCAGGAACACTCTGTGTTACCCACAGCAACAACTCTTTGGCCTTAGTAAAAGGCCTCAAAAGTCCACTGACCCATCAACATGTCTCCTTCTCCATCAGCTCCCTCCTGCCTCCACCTCTCTCCTTTTCCATCTTGCAGTCCATAGTTTATCATTACAATTACCCTTGCAAGGACCACCCCCTCCCTAAGCTTTCTAGCTCTGTACTGCACCCACTTGGCAAAAACCAACCCTGGTAAACTCAATCACCTCCCCTTCTCCTCCATGCTTGTACCCGTGCAAGTGAGTGATGGCGGAGAAAAATTATACATGCTGTGCAGAATGTGTCACCTAAATTCTT